GGCTTCTGCCTTTGTTAAATGAGGCTGTTCGTTTAATCTGTGCCCACTAAATTCTAAACCTAAATGACACTAATGTGGGCGATGGTGACACAGGAGTTAAGTGCTCGCCCCATAATTGCAAGGTTGCGGGTTTGAGCCCTACTCAGTCTGTCGCTGTCATTGTGTTCTTTGGCAAGACACTTAACTCACCTTGCCTGCTGGTGGTGGTCGGAGGGACCGGTGGCGCCAACGCTCGGCAGCCTCGCCTCTGTCTGTGAGCCCCATGGTAGCTCATCCTCACCAGGGTGTGGATGTGTGAGTCCAGGACTCTAGAAGGCCATGTTGGACCAATATTAAAACAAGCAGACTTGTTTTAATTAGGCCAAGTTAGGACCTCCCTGAGGGTCATGAGAAAACAAGTGGGGTGTCCTAAAGCAGATCACATGGACTAAAGGTTAGCAGCATGAGCCATAATGCAGGTTACATAACAAATACTTTTAATTTGGTTAATTTGCACATTAGTGGCAGACTTTGATGCTTGTCATGTCTCTCCAGCCGTACTGGGTTGTCTTGAAGAACGTGATTTTGTCTAAATGTTTGTTGGATTTAACTTTCCAGCATCATCTCCAAGATAAAGTGAAGTAAAAAACTTAAACCAGTCATTCTTGGGGAATTCTTGATTCCCTTGGGGGAAAAACAGTGAGATCACTCTTGGACAGCCTTTATCCGGCCAACCCAGGGAGAGGGATTTCCCGGGAAATGCTAATGTGAAAGTAAGAACGAGGTATGGGTTGAGTTTCAGCTGTTTTCTTCAGAAGTCTGTCTAACATTTCACAATGCACCTTTGTGGAGTTCTGGTCTTGCTGATGACTCTTTCTGCAGGTAACAATATCTTTTCTATAATTGTAAATACCACGGTTTTATTATTATTTTTTTATTAACCAGGCAAAACAGATTAAGAACAGACTTCTTATTTACACCTGTGGCCTGACAAAAGACAATACCTTTTGGAGTGAAAAGGAAAGAGAAATGTACCATAAAGCAGCATAAATTAGACAAAAAAAAACACAAATACACACACAA